TTCAAGAGGAAGATGATGGAATGTTTAGTGTTTCTATGTTGATCTCAGTTTAGGTCCAGATATTTGAAGGCGTTCAGTGCATTTTTCCTGTCACCCCGCAATAGAATAATTTGTTACTGAAATTAAAGGGGAAAATGTCCCCAGACAGCTCTCTTCATGCCTCAAACCTTTGTGTTACAGACAATGCACAGGAACAAATCAAAGAGCGGTCACTGCCCTTAAGAACCTTTGTAGGTTGCATGTGAACTTTGCAGGCTGAAGCTCACTGAATTCAGTCTAAACTGGAAGTTCCCTGCAGCCACATAAGGCTCTGGGCACTATGTTTGGGAACAAATAAATTATAAAATGCAATAGAATTGTGTAAACACTAGCAAACATAAGCTATTCTCTTGTGCTTTCCCTATATTCAGTCTGATTGCCAGATCTCTCCTCTGCAGTTTATTTCTCTGGTTGGTACACATGATTAGCAAATGCCATTTCAACCAAATGCTTTTTTTGTCTGTTAATCCATCCAGACTAAATACATCAAAAGTTAAACATTTTGATCAAAAATTTTCTATAGCTTTGCAAACACAGATAAAAAAACCCCTGTGAATTGGACTGGAAAAAAAAAAAATCTCAAGAATTTTCTGAAACAACTTGCTTTTCTCCCCAGCTCCATTATGTATGCTTACAGTTTGATTTTCTTATAAAAGAGGCATTTTCTTGAAAAGAACTCAGATATAAGCAACCTCTTATTTACATTAGCAGGAGCTGGGGGACAACCCCCCCCCCCAAAAAAAAAAAAAAAAAAAAAAAAAGGACAAACAAAGCAGGAGTAGTCAAGCTTTTTATATATTATAGCCTTTTTCTTTCCCAGTGGCTGGAGGTATCTGTCTCAGTCAAAAAGCCTTGCATGAAAAAACTCCATGCTTCATGTTTTACCCAGACAGTGAAAAGAACACAATGAAAACCACTCCAAAACATTACAGGCATCTAATTCAGCATGATGTGAGCACTTCCAGCCTGTGATGCCTGGTGACTAACAGGAGTCTGTAATTCTCACCCAGAATTAGCGGTTCGGGTCACCGAGAAGCTCAGGTTTCTCAGGATCTGGGAGATCTCGAATGCAAACTGCCTTGAGAGAAAGCATCTTAACTTTAGCAGTTCTCCCTCACACATCTCAGAGCAACATAACCTAAACGTAGAGCAGCTGCGTTGCATTCCCTGGGGAAGCTCCCCCCATCCCTATACAGGTGTGCCTAATCTCGAACGCAGCAATCTGTGATTCCTTTTAAAGCTTTTTCCTGCCTCTTTGAAGAGAGCTGGAGGTGTAAAACTTTGAAATCAAGTAGACCTCAAAGGATCAGCAGTGTCCAAGAAGGACAACTGGTCCTAAAGATTAAAAAGCTCTTAATAGAAGAGAAAACCTATAAACACAAAATTCAAAGGAAATAATTTTCATTGGGCACTGGATGCCCCTGCCACAGCATGGTGCTGAGGACTGTACCGCAGCGAGCTTTGTAGTGCTTCAGACTTGCAAAGGATTTTGCCCACTTAGATATTAGAAACAAATAGAAGCTTTTAATCTGCAAAGGGCCTTAGTTTCCCCCTTTATAAAAGAGCCTTGTCTCCAACCCAGCTATTCTGTGTAGGGGCAGGTCAGGGTGCTCACTGGGTGAGCTACCTTGTGATAGCAGCTGCACTGTGATCACAGGTTCATATATATACACACACGCTCAAACCTACACACTATTACATGAATCAGTTGACATTAAGGTTCAGCACTTGATTATCTTTCAAGGTCAATATCTGAATACTTGGGCTGTATTTAACAGCATCAGAAGTAGTTAGATCATTTTAATTGCTATGAACAGCATTGCCTCTCCATGCTGCCTCTCCATCTGTATTCTTCTCCCATCTCTATTTTACACTGTAAACTCCCTAGGCCTGGGCATTCAGTTTTGTGGGTTTTATTACCTGGCACGATAGGATCCTTCTCCATGGTTATTTAATGCTACAGCACTGCTACTAGTAAATAATTATGATCATCGCTTTTGATTCCATATCACAGGATTCTTCTCACGTATTCTGAGGATGCTCTGCTCCAATGATTGATGTGAAGGACAGTATTTAGCAGGATATGGTTTTTCAGTTTGCCCACTGCACAATCTATTATTAGAGCGCAGATTCAGCACTCATGTGCCTTTTCATGCATATCAAAGAGAGATATCTCTTTTCTCCACTGTTAGCAGCATTAATGATACCCTTCTGAAAATGGTGTGTGAATAGCATCATTAAACTGCCTTGAAAATACAGGTGTAAAGAGGGGCGGGGGGGTGTGTTGTACATATGGAGAAATTATATATTGCATGATAAAAATTAGGTATAAGCTGTGAGAAGAAATAGGAAGACAACACAGAGAGCTAGATGATGGTTGTAGAGCCCTTCCTACTGAACTATTCTATTCTGTTCTACTCTACTCTACTCTAAGCTTAGCTCATCACCTCCAACTTACTCAACTCTTCTTCCAGACCAAAGGAGCTTTCAAACCCAAGGTGTTTCTCCCCATGTGTCAAGTAAAGTCAGTGGGTGAAAACCGTATCCCTTTTGGGATGCTTTTTCAGCAAGTCTGCTTGGGCTCCTGAATTGCAGCAGCTTCCCATTAGAGTTAATTATCTGAAATATTGCTTCTCAGTCTGGTTTATTTGCACTGAAGTGACCTATACTTGGATACACTCCGGCGTGGCCCACCAAATATCTTGACCATATGAGACTCAGAACAACTTTGTACCTCAACAAGTGGCAGGGGTTGGTCTGTCCAGCTTATCTGAGGAATGAAGATCTCACCTTTCCAAAGGAAGTCTTAATTGCACATTAAAGGAAATAAAAGTGACATTTAATGATTGTATACTTGACCTTCTTTACAGGATTTCCCACTCCATATTAACCATTTTTATTTCCCAGAGTTTACTACCAGCTTTATGTAAAAACCAGCTTCCTTTCTGGGCCCATGATGTAACTTTGTGTTCATTTAACCAATCAAAATTATCTGTCTCTGTTACAGTCTCACCTAAAGAATATGATATTTGCCTTAGTTTGGGTGTAAGCATGTGTACCTGTCTCCCATTTGTAAATATACATTTATGGCACTACACACCTACCCAGTTGCATCTGTCTGTGTGGTGTTTGTTAGTCTGCAGCAAAGGAAGCTGGATCAGAAAGTCAGGGGAGCATCAAGGAGAAGAGGTAATTACACGAGGCTGCCAGAAGAGTTCAAAGTGGCTGAGAGTTGACTGTGTTGGCAGTGGATCATTTTTCATGGACTGCATTGGAAAACAAAATGCTGAATTGGAACAGTCCTATGAAAAGGGAGTTTTCCTTTCAGAGCTAGATCAAAAGGGGAACCATTCCTACTACAATACGACTAGGGCAATAAAGTCTGCTGCTTAGGCGGGAAAACAGCAGGTCTGGTAAGATACTGTGATGGGTATAACTCTGTGTGGATAGTGCTGATGATACATAACCTTGAAGCTGTGGTCACCTGGTGCCCAGCTCTCCTAACGTGAAAACAAGAATGCAGTTCAAGTGTTATTGAAAATGCCAGAGTCCCTCTTTTGTCCCTTGCGGAGTCTCCCTCTTCTACAGTCTCCTGCTCTCTGTGCCACGCAGAGCTTCCTCTTGCATGATGAAATGGAATAGTGATACACACTTTTTAGTCTAGGAGTATCTGTGGGTTTGATGCATTTATTTTTCGGTGTGGGTTGGTCATATGTCAGAGATTAGAGAAAAACGGACTTGTAGCTTCATCTGTGTGGATGTGAATTAAGGGATAGACATTAGTAGCAGCTGCAGATATGTCTTTGGGTGTTTCCTTAGGATTTTGTGTGCATAAACGGATTACAACTAGATAAAAAAAAAAATAAAGATTGTAATTATAAACTCTGAAATGTCCTTAAATCAATACATGCACAACAGGGCATTTGCCCCAGCTGAATGGTGTGATAAAAGGCAGTCTGCTGCTTCAAAGGTATTTTATGGGCTTGAAGCAGCTATGTGGGGTCGTATGAATTGGTTGAGCATCTCTATTTAATAGAGTGAGCACGCAAGAAGCTGTGACAGTTAGGCTTCATCACTGCAACCATTAAATTAATTCTTGCCAGTGAAAACAAACCACAGACAGAGCCACTTATGCACCAACTAGTCACAGCTTGCAAGGTTTGCTAAAGTTTATCAAAATCCCCAGACAAAAAATGTCATTACAATACAGTTATGGTTATAGACAGATACCGATTCCCAGGCAAGAAACTTCATTAAGGTACACTCAAGGTTGTAAACATATGTGCCAATAAAATTCAAACAAGATCCAAACACTGTCATTATTTACAATGTTAAATATTTGGAAATTAAAAGTTACTGCTAGAGATAATATGGTTTCTATAAAATGCATAATCATGTTTCAACAAACTGAACTTCTGCCGCTACTCAGTATTACCTTACTTTCTATTTCTTATTGTGATGCTCCCTGATTGGGATACTGTGAAAGCAAAAAATCTACATGGGTTCAAAAAAATTCTGCACAGTTTTGTGGAGGAAAAATACAGCTGTAGGTATTGAAAGCAAAGCAGACACTGTTCCAAAGTACCCTGAGCCACAAGTTCTGAAAACCTGGAGAATATTCTGAGGAAAGTCTGGTTTGATTTTCCTTGTTCTTATATCTGTCCATATAAGGGCAGATGGTCCTTTGGTCCAAAGCAGTATTGCTGCCGTCACAACATTCCCCGCAGTCACAGCATGATTGTAGACCTCATGCATGAGGAAGGTATGGCAAGCAGTGCACTGGCTTAGAAAATATAGGATGCAAAACAAGCAACTAAATGTGAAATTCTTGCAACTAAATTTCAATTGAAGGGTTTAGAAGGGACACTCTGCCTCCTAAATGCAGTGTTAGACCCTTGTGATATTGTTTAATTAGATTTTTTCTTATAACATAGTTGTGAACATTGTCTTTTCTCTTGTAGCTTCAATAGTGATTGGGAAATGGTGGTGTGAGATGGAGCCCTGCCTAGAAGGAGAGGAATGTAAGACGTTGCCTGATAATTCTGGATGGATGTGTGCAACTGGCAATAAAATCAAGACCACCAGAGTAAGTCGTCTTTCTGTCTGTACCCGGGAGGTCTTAATAGGAAAAGGACTCACCAGTGATTGCTCACCTGTCTCTTTTCCATCATCATGTCTGTTGTAGAAATCTTAAAGATCACTGCATACCTCCCCAGCCACCCAACGCTTCTGGCCATAATTTAGTGAAAATTCAGATTGGTTCAGGCTGGTCAGTTGGGTCCAGGCTTGATAACTGGCAGGTTGGAGCTGCTGAATCGCCATGTCACTTTCTTACAGACATTGTCACCTCAGAAAAAAACCTAGTGCACATCACTGAGTCCCTTTCTGGTGGCAAAAGGGAAGAATATTAGATCAAAGGGATCTGCTGGATCCTACATCCATTCCTGTGTTGTTCCCAGCCACATCTGTATTAGCAGCTGTACAGGTGCTTTGTAGCATGAAACGGCGCTGAGGACTCAACTCGCTATCTGCATTTCAGGTCTTACTTAGACCAGCTCTTGCCCCATGCACCTGTTAGTGACATGCTCTTGAGATGCTGAAGATTCAGGTAGCACAGGCCAACAAGTGACGACAGCTTTCACCATGCATTGCTGGGAAAATGCGGAGATACACCTGCAAAGAGAGACAGTGTGAATGAGCTGGCTAAAGTCCTCCCACTATGAGATTACCTTTGGGAAAAAAAAGAAAAAAAGGTGTTTTGCTAGATTCTAGCTTTTCGTTCACATTGTACAATTGTTTCACAACTGTTTTCTTAAAACTGCCACCTATACCTATATTCAACAAGTTTAATTAAATTATTTTCATACCATGATTGAATTTTTTTTCCAAGAAAATTACATGGTTGTCAACTCAAAATATTTTTTATAAATTAATAAATCTTGTTTTTCAGTGAAGTGGAAAATAACTTTTGAAACGTGCTAAATGAAAAAAAGAAAATTTTCACAAATTTTTTCCCTGTTTATTAAGAAGTTCAACATACTCATGCCCAGCTACTAATTCACAGGAATGTGAGGCTTAGTGTCATGATTTACTGACCTCTTCCACTTCCTACAATCCTAACTTTAGTCACTTTTCATGTCTTCTAGGCCTTTTGTTGAGGGACGAGATTTTACCCTAACTGATCCCCATGCCATCTGAATTCTTTTCTTTCCCTCCAAATGATTTACCCCAGGATGAATGATTTGTATTGCAAGCCCAGATTCTTGAGCAGTGCCTTCTGGCATGGCTAATCTCACCACCACATTAAATTACTGGGACACACGCTCATTTAGGAGGTTTTCTTTGCAGAAGGCAGCAAGTGGCCCCCGAAAGCAGGATGCGTATTATCTCTTTGTCGTCTCCAAGAGCAAAGGAGAAAGCGTGGAGGGAGCTGTGATTCCTTGACTCAATTTCTTCCTGCAGTGTCGTTGTTACTGCAAACCGTGTTCACAACTGAGCTCTCCACACTGAAACATCACTGGAAGTTTGTGCCCAAATGCATGTGCCTTGCAGTACAATTAAAAAAAAACCAACCAAACTTACTACCCGTCCTTTTCAATGAGGCAACGTTTTTCTCACTGAATTGGGAAATTAAAATGGAAGAAAGTGACATTAAAGAAGTAATAAGCAACATGAAGAAGTATGTTATACTTCCGTTAAATTACAATCATTCACTACTTCTGCAGTCTGTCTGCAAATTATATAATTTAGGAATTGCATTTGCTTTTTTTCTGTGAAATTGTCCTGCTCTTAACTCCCCCAACCCTCATCATATAAGATAGTTTTAGGCAATAGCCTGCATCTAGAAGTGATTGAGAGAAATCTAGCAGCTTCATTTTTATGCAGATGTACGGTCCAATCTATTCAGTATGCATTATTGTATTTCACTTAAATTAAATACTTACAGAGTGAGCACTCATAACTGAAAAAATACTTCTTCATTTACCCACAGGAGTTATTTTAATTAGCTTGTGAGGGGAGTACCTTATGGTGCTGCTTCCAGTAGAATTTTGCTTTGTTGCTTTAAAATATCATTACAGAACCCAACTGACAAAGGGAACATGACATGATGTGTTTAGCGACTGTCTCATGCGTTTTATAAGCAAAAATTTGACTTCATAATCCCTGAAACTTTGCTTGAATCTGTACTGCTGCATCAAGTCTAGCAACATAAATATCAAATAATAGAAGCAATCAGATCCTGAAACAGGCATTTTTTTTCGTTGTTTTGTCATTTCAGATGGCATCAGAGAAAGAGACTACACTATAATCTGTACTGACCCCAATGCAGGCTGAAAGATTGGGCCATGTGTGTCTAATTTGGGTAGTTAAGGAAGTTCAGAAAGCAGAAGAAACAAGACAAATCAGTCGACATCCTAGACATATCTGTAGTGATCAGCCAAAAAGATAAAGCAAGGCACCATAGGCTGTAAACTGTAAATGGTTTTAATGAGGGCTTTTCCTTACACTGAATACATTTACGTTAGGTGCTGCTGTCCTGACAAGGAAAACATTCGCATTTATGACGCGCAGGATTAAAATACCTATTAGTATATTCTTCAAGGCCCACTGTAAATCACATATAAGCAAGTGTGTATGTATGTATCTGAATACATGTATATACACAATATATGTAATTTTACAGTGTAATGTATTACTTCATGGTTGGTTCTCAGATGCGATTAATACTGATTAGTGTCAGAAGAAGGTGGACAACAGGGCCAGTAAAGGCTTTGCCAGCACAGCCTCCATTCCTTCATTTTTACGTGTTTAGTCTTTTAGCGTAGCTCACTAATTCAGTTGTTAAAGACATAAAGCTCACAGCCTCTGTAAATCGATTTGTTTTCTATTGATGGTCAGAGCAGGTGACAAACACTGGAAAGAAATCATTTTGTAATTCAATTTTTGTAGCAGTTTCAATGCTTTTTAAAATTCCTAGTCACTCCTTTAAAAAAAAAAAAAATCACACCATAAGTTTCAATGCTTTCCTTAAAAATATGGGGCTCTTGGAGCTGTAGTAGGACCTGGCACCTCACCACATTTCAGCAGAGCAACAGGCACCAGGGAAATGCAAGAGCACAGTCTCAGCCTGGATGCTGGGAGACAGTGCCCACAAAGACACATAAATGCCTGCTGAAAAACATGGAACATGGCTCTTCATGCATCCCGTGTTCTGTCACTTCCCAGAGTCACTCACAAGCTCTGGACGTTGGATCAGTGTCTACACCCAACTTTCTGTGCATGGCTTTGCAGGGCCCTTGAGGAGCACGGTGCTCTTCCCCCGGGCTTCCTGCCCAAGTTCATGTGCAGGCTGCGCTGCAAAATGCCCTTTTTATGTAATCCACACTAATTATACCTGGCATTCATGAACTAGCCCTCTAAATACTTCAACAAGCTGTTCTGCTGATACTGTGGAGGATGAAAATTAAAGCATTGAGCGCTTGGGGACTGGTAGAGCAGCTCAGCTCGGAACATCTCTCCAGCTTCACAGCCTGCACCCTCCATTCCAGCCCATCCAGCCCCCAGTTTCCAGAATAAGGCTTGGTTTACGATACATTTTGCCATCAGAGAAATGCAGGTCATTTTACGGTGCCCAAGGGACCTGAGCATTGCATTTCTTAGCAGCCCCTGCTCAGCTCATGCTGCAGTAAATAGCACCTGAGGTGCCCACAGCCCCTTGACACTGTAGTCCTTTGTCATTCCCTGCTCCTACACCAACCATACAAATTCTTGAGGCAGTGTACAAATGAGAAAGGGATGTATTCATCCCTGAGAGGGAAAACTCAGCAGGGTCACTTGTCAGTGGCACCCCAGGAGAGCAGAAAATGGGAACCGGGGGAAGAAATGGTGAAGGAACCCAGAGTTTTGTTTTCTTTTTTTAAGATGTGCAATTAGGTTAATATGTCATATTATTTCCAGATTAAGTTTTTCTTTAGAGCAGCAAAGAAACACCTCTATTTTTGTGATAACAATCAATGTAATTAAGAGGTCAGTTCAAAGCAGTAGAGCACAAGATAGTAAATACCTCTTGCTATAAGACTTATCACTGCATTTCATATCACCTAGTGTTTACCTAATAATTTTAGCCCCAATTTAATGCCCAAGCCCGCTCGTATTCAAGTCAATTTGAGTTTCACTGCTGACCTAGCTGTCTAGCAAAGGGATGGACCCCTTGTACTGTTCATCTGCATGCATCAGTGCAGGAAAGAAAGCCTCTCCTCAGGAGAGCTATTTTTGCTTCTGGTCAGTCATTCTTATTTCAGCATCCTAAAAAAAAAACCTCTGGGCAGTGGTGTTTCCTCTTCAAGCCATTATTGCGCTCACTCAGATCAATTGTGGTGTTAGTCACGAAGAGGGATGGTTGTATGGTCTGTTGCGGGCCATGTTATCTCACCCGAGATGAGTAGATGAAGTCGGTCAGATTTTCACTGCCCCTCTTTGGGTAAGTGGGTTGGTAGGGGGTCCAAATAGACCTGGAAGATGGATCTATCTGCATGTCCTGGTCTAGCAGAACCTACTAGCATCAGTCAAGAAAAGGAGGGTGGAAGACTGGGGTGAGCATGGCCCCACGTCCAAAGCTGTCCTGGCGTCTCCTGCATCACCAGCCCAGGTGATGGATGGACATCCAGGATCTCCCAAGGCACAGCCGGGAGCTTGCTCAGGGTCTACCTTGTTCACATGCTTAAATCCCTGCAGCCCCAAGAGAAAAGAACCCCCCCAAAATATTGCGATTTAAACTCAGCTATGTCATGAGCAGGGTAGAGTGCCACAAAGCATGGGTCTTTCTTTCCTCCATAACATATTTTATATAACTGACTCTTTCACACTCTCTTACTGCAGATCCACCCGAGGACCTAACAGAGCCCCGTCTGCATGGAGACAGTGAAAGCCCTGCTGATTTATGAGGACAAAGTATTGAAAGTTTAAAACCATCTCAGCATTTCCAAGCCAAATGGATTTCTTATTTGCACTTTGACTGTTTACCAGATAACAACAGTGGCTTTACTGTGTGAAAGAAAGTATTCAGTGGAAATAATGCCCCCGATTTTTGACAGCTGAAAATAAAAATGAAGAAAATGGTTCCTTTGACAAAGTTTCTGAGATTGCAAAGTACAAACAACAGTATAAGTTTGGATCTACAATTTACTTTATACCAGTTAAAGTATATATATAGAAATATATATATATTCATATATGATATTTTGAAATAAGAGCCTCACTCTTCAAGAAATTGAATAGTACCACACTTTGCTGCAGCTGCTGTAATTTTTTTTTCTTTTTTGTAATGGTCTGGAAGATCCCTACCTGTTTCAGAGACAAATGTGGCAGTGAAGAGGCAAAGCAAACTTGCTGCGGTACAAGGACGCCTAAGAGCTACACGAATCCTACGGATGCGGCATCCAGAGCTTCCTGTTCCCTTCGGCAGAATTTTGAGGGCATTTGTTGTTCCACTTTGTGTTCTGGAGGCTTTTCCCCTTGTGCAATACTAGCATGCTGGCTTTGCTTCATTAACCATACTTGACTGATATATAACAATGATAATTCTATCCTCTTCCAAGAAAATATTTTTAGAGCTGTTAGATATTCCATGAAGAAGAGATGGACAGCTACTGAGTGAAGTACAGTATGTGTTAAAAGTTTATTTGGCAGAGTTTGGTAGACTGTGAGCTCCCTTCTTATTAAAGATGTACTGTACGTACAATGTCTTCAGACTTTGTATAGCTCGTAGAGACTACAGTAAAACCCCAGTAATCAACTCCAAAGCTTTGCGTTGTTGGCTCACTAATTCCCTGAAACAACAACAAAGCTATTTCTTTCCAGACCAACATGCAACAGGGCTTTTCCATATGGTTTGGTTTTTTTACTAGCCCATTTGCAATTGGTGAACCAGCATTTCAGCTTAAGGAAATGCCTCTGTGGACACCTCGAATGCTCAGGCACACCCATACCAAGGGACTGCCTGGCTGTGTGCTCTTATCCCACAGCACACACCAGAGAACAACCTAAATTTAAGCTGCCTTCATTGCAGGCCAGGCTAATTCTCACTGAGAGCATTTGCCACCAGCTAAATTCCCTGTGGGCAATTCCATGGCACAGCAAATGCACAGCAGTTTGTAGTAAGCAAAGTGGCTCTGAGCCCTGCTTTTGTTTCAGGAATATTTTCCTTCGGTTTAATTTTAATCTGTGTCTTACTAAGGTGAATTCAGATGAGATGAGATGCTCTTCAGCAAGGATGCGTCCACAGAGGGATTGATCCACTCACTGTGAGCGGTTTGAATTCACATTTCCAGCTAAGCTGCTGCTGCTCACCATGCAGCCTGGCCTTTGCATTGCTGAAGAAAGATCAAATCTGAGGGCTGAAATGTGCAAGCCTAGTTCACATTCCCAGGCACTTTTGTGGGCGGTTCAATTAATTTCAGGGTGTTTATTCATGTGGAAAAATATCTTGCTGTCATGCATAAGTCTGCGCAATCTACCCTTCGGTACGCCTAATGCTACCAAATCAAAGAGGGAGAGGGAACTGTAAAACTTGTTCTATCCAGTCCAGCTTCATTTCTTTAATATTTCCAATTTGCTTTCAGCCTGCTTACCTGTCTCTCACAGGACCCCTTTGGCCATGCCGATCACTTTTAATCCAAGGCAGAGGAGGTGCTGCACTTCCTGACCTAGAGTTGGTCAAAATTCTCCCACTAATTTTCTTTCTCCTTCAGGGCAATCACTCAATCCCTGATGCTTCGAGAGGCAGAAATTTGTCACTGTAATTACACTGTGTGTTAAAGCAGCTACATGACGTGTCACGCCATACTCCATGCAGGCTTTCCCTGCTGGCACCTGACTGATGCTCATGGTGGAAATGGAGATGCTGTTTCCAAGTACTTCCGTTATTTGCCCTTCAAAAAGATATGAGAGTGAAAAGTGTCCAGGGAAGAAACTCATTTTTCTTCTGTGCACATAAAGACTAAATAGGAGCTTGAGCCTCACCACCAGTTGTAGGTCCTAGCACACGGAGACCAGCCTCACTGGTGGCCCATGTATTTTCTGGCTACAGCCACCTGCCTAAACCACAGAAGATACCTGGACCCCAGTCTGTGTTTTAGATTTGCACTGACATGACCATGTGTCCCTAGTCCCATCATCTCAATTTGGAGAGGACCACTGCCTGCCTGATTACCCATGGATAGGTCTGGTCCTAAAATGAGATCATCAGACCAGCTCCAGGCTCACCTGCCACAAGTAAGGAGAAACTCCTCCAAAAGAAATCCTCAGTATTTCTCGATTTTACTAGAACAGCACTTTAAAAACCCCACGACCCCCTAGAGCTAGGAAGCCCTTGGTGCAGGAAACGATAGACCCTGCCACCAGGAGATAACTTGATTAAAAGCCAGGACATGTTGTCATCCCTTTACTGATGGGAACTGAGGCACACAAAGCTAAACAGCCACTCAAAATCACATTAGAGGGCTATGGAAAACTGAGCAGAAATTGAACTTTGGTTTCCTTCTTCCCAGTCTATTGCTACTCTGTAAAATGACTCACACACAGCAAACTAACCCATGGCTTCTTGTACCCTTTGCCAAAGCCAGACGTGTCACCATTGAGAGGTACTCACCCCACAGCAGTGTATCTGACGTGGCTCAGACTGTGAGAAGATAATGATGCTTATACCTATTTCTGTGAAATATGCCTTTTGAGATTGGGAAATATTAGACTTGCTAAAATGTAAGAAGGAAATGTTGTCATTACCACAGCAAAGTTTCTTAGAGATGTTTATGAGTTTTTCTTCGCCAGTAGGCAGCCTCAAATATCACCACACCAAACTCAGTAAACATCTGTGTCTCTTTGAAGTTTCTGCAAAATCTGCTCATGAGGTGCAGCACTGAGAAATTGCTGTTTTAATTAAAATGTTTTAGAGGGGAATTAAGGCCTTTGCAAAAATAATGACTAATAAAACATGAAGTCAAATTAAGAGCTGGATGCAGCTAACCGTCATTGTTTCAGTGACTCAGATTGAAAACAATAATAAAAAAAAAATCTACCAGCCTGGAGTCACAATGATCATGTATTTCAGTGATATGTGTAGGGGAGAGATGTCAGAGCTGCTTTTTCACCTTGGCCAATGGAAACCCAGTGCGTTTCAGTGGCGGAGTGAATGGGTCCCACATCTTCATAAGAAAGTGAAAGTCATGCCATTCTCTGCACAATATTGAAAGGTATTTACATCAAAAAAAGAGAAAGTTCAAGTTCCTACTTTCTGGCAGAAGTCTAGACAGAGTCATGTCAGGAAAAAAAAAATATTTGTAAATGCATCAAAGATAAACTTAGATTTATGTCAGTGTTTTTTCTCCAGATGTGTGAAACCAAGTTATGTAAATGTAAAATGTACAAGCCGGAAAAAAATACTGAAAAAAGAAAAAGAAAAAAGTAGCTACCATCTACCTATTGATTCAGAAAATCTAGATTATGTGCTTCTGTCCAAAAATATCTGGTAATAAAAAGCTCAGTGTGGTATGACTATATATTGCTTTGAATATGCTAAACTCTATAGCTGAAGGAAAAAGACCCATGGAGAAAGTCCGCTGCTATGGCCGACAATTATGAACAGCATGATGGGCACCCAAACCTCTCATTGCACAGAGAAAGGCCCATGAACAATTACTGAAGGTGATACAGTTTGTGATGAGTGATGCTCTTATCAGACCTATTGATCAACCATTAACAGAGATTGGAGATACTTTCAGTGGTGTTTTGCTTGTATATTTTCCTATTATAAAATGATCAGTTATGTTCCTAACTCTCCTCATTTGCCATGTTTCTGTTTCACTGTATGGTCCAAATATAATTACAGATGATAGAGAAGTTGTAGAGATAAACAGACCTTGGCTTGGAAAGCACATCCACTTCATCTGAAGGTGGCAGCTTTTATTTCTTCTTCAGTGTCAGGATGAATATTGTGGCCTAAAATGAGCTTTTCTTTTATCAATACCTCAGTCACATCCCAGTAAGCAGGGTTTAGAGCTTGCCTGGCAACAAAATGGGTCATGCTTCTTTCCTTGGTATTCTGTTTTTTGACAGAGAAAAATAGAAACACATTCCACAAATAATCTTTCAGGTAGACAGAAGGAGATGTGTGTACAGGGCAGTTGGTTTAAGGTTGTCAACACTTTTTCTAGTTCACCGGTTTGGATTCAGATCATAGGCCTGACACATATTTACGGTTCCTTCTCTGAAATGCTCACACAGTCAAAACACTTAACTTCACAAACATTTACACTTTATAAAACTATGCTGCTCTGAGGAAAAGAAACTGAATCCTCTGCTTTGCAGGTAGGAAACCAAGACTCATAAGATTTGAGACCTGTTGAAGGTTATGCTAAAAAAATTCAGCAGAACCAGTTGTAGAACTGAGGACTCCTGGATTTTAGGTCATCATCGCAGATGGTTCATCTACAGTTCACATCAGTGAAATTTCACTGACGGCAGACCCTGGCTTTTAGCTGGGGTCACAGAGAGCAAAATTAGGGTGCCTGCAGTCAAGTGTGGACAATCACTCCCTTCAGCTGGGATTTGCAAACCACTGATGCATGGAAGACCACCACTAGACCTACTCCAACATCTTCTCCTCCAGGGACACAATGACACAATCCTGCCCTCCTTTGGTTTCATGGCCCCTGAGCAGAAGCTGCTTCAAGCCTTTCAGATCAGAGCAGGGATGAGAAACAGCACAGAAGTGGCTGTGCTTAACCCTGATGGGCTGAGAAATAGATGTAGCCAACAGTCCTTCTTTTGGAGGTCACGATTCCTCAGAGTTGCCCCTCTGATAGACTGATTTTCAGCTAAGAGTTGACTTTGAGCAGGTAAAACACACATTCCCTGACACCGGGAAGTGCCTGAACCAGCCAACAAGCACAAATAACTTGTTCTCAACTGAGGAATGTGAGCACCACTGCCAGGGGAGTAACTAAGTCATGGGTGAAAAACGTTCACTTTATTTTTGACAAATACTTATCTCTGGGCACATCTGGCAGATCTTTGATAAAACCTTTTGCTGCTCCTTGACAAGCACCTCTAGTTCCTGAGTGCAGCTCAGAAATGTGCAGAGGTGCGTCCCACATGACAGGCCTGGGTATGACATCTTTTCATGAAAGACTCATTGTTAGTTTATTTTTGTTTTCCTGGTGCGGCGATACGGTCAAATTTGTATGCTCAGAAACAATACACATGTTTGAGCATCAGGTTACTGACCCATTTCCCATTATTTCTCATCTCTTTCTTTGTCAGACAACTGTCCTTGATTCAGTTAGAAATTAGGGCTAGGGGCCCACCTAGATTTGAAGCAAACTACCCATAACCTAAATATTGCTCAGAGCAATATTCAATTTCTTCCTCCCACCTGCCATTCCTCTTCATTTCCTCTTTCATTTCATTTTCATTTCATCTCATCCCCTCTCTTTCACACCACTTAATTATTTTCGTCCATCTCTATTAGTCCTGTATCACCACTGCTGCCCCACAGCCTAGAAGAAAAGCAGCTGTGCTGCCAAGACCTAACAGCTGTGCTGTCCCCCCCAACAGCAGTGATTTATGTGATCTTCCTTCTTTCCTTTTTCCTGTGTACTTTGGAAGGCGAGATCCTGACCTCGCTGCAACTGCTGTGCCAGCAGCTCCCTGTGTTTGCGCTGCCCACACCAGCAATTCCCA